TGGTATTGTTTGGGTATTGTATAATCATAATTTGGTATTGGAATAGTATTGTGGGAACAATTGTCTGGTATTATTTTTTGGTATTTTACCTCTTATGTCAGGTTCATCCATACCAACTTAAGGTATTGATATATTCGTTCCTGCTCGGGTGTTATTGTATATAAACTGAACGATCACTATTTGTTATTTTGGTAACCAGTTCCAACCCGTGCCAACCCGAGTTTATTGTCAGTACGAACCTCAACCCTAGCCAGGTTACAAAAACAAACGGTTGACAGACAACAAGCAAACCCGATCTTGATACCCGATCCAGGTTGGAACTAAATCAAAAACAAGTTCGCTATAAGTTTATTATGAGTTCTTGCACGGGTACAAAATTGATATTAGGAGGGGTGACCCCGGCGTAGTGAGTCAAAGTCAAAGTCACGAGTTCAAATCGCACCCCGGACAAGTCACGTGTGATCCAAGAGCGTTAAAGTGACTATAACAAAAAAAAAAATGATGTTTACCCGAGCAGGAACGAAATTTGGTATGGATGAGCATAACATAAGAGGTAAAATATGAATTGGACGGACCCCTACATATTTTGGACCCTTTTCATATATTTTCCTCGCTTACTGTCTAGTTTCTTCAAATTCATCTGGGTTGATGTTGTAATTACATTCTTTCAATTACTTGCTATGTCTCAAGATCATTAGTTCACCTCAAATTGCTTACAATTGCTCAATTTATGCAGTTTTAGAAAATGTTATCGAAAAAGTTTCATGTTTCGACGTTTGTCAGAGGAGTCGGCGTTAGTGTACTTCTTTTAAATTTGGTCTAAAATATACAATTCAATGATTTTTTTATCAAATCAGTTTATCTGACTTTGGAAGATGTATTTCACGTGTTTATAAAGATTTCACCTTAAGATTTTACTTAAAAAGTATTAATTAAAAAGTGTCCAAAAAAGATCGTAAAAAAATGTTACCAACTAATTTGGACACTTATCAAATGAGAATCATCAAAAGAGCGACAAAAAAAATTCCGGTTGGTCGATCGTGCTATTATCTCAGATTTCTGATTAAGTTGGTAGGTAAATCAATCAAAATTATATGAATTCATTGTTTTTAAATATATTTCTTGTTTATCAGGCGATTCAAAATGGGAAAAACGGCAAAACACGTAGAGTGGTCCACTCTGAGTTTTCCTAGTTTTCCTAGTTCCTAGTTTTCCACAAAAGTTTTCCTATCTCCCAAACGCATTTAACTAAGGGTCTGTTCATAAACTACGTAGACGCTTTAGGGGGGTGGGAGCGCTTGGCAGATGTCTACGGTCCATACAATTTTTTAAATTTTGTGTTTGAGACTGTCTTCTACGGAAGAGGGGGGGGGGGGGGGGGGTTGAAATCTCTCAAAAACCGTCTACGTAGTTTATGAACAGCTCATACAAAAAATAATATGGACTGCAAGCATAGAGTCAGGTCTCCGTATTAAGATTTACTTCTGAATGATTTTTTTTTATGGTATGATCAGTTGTTTCCTTATGTTATATTATATTTCCTCCGTTACTCGCACCAACTTTTGTAACACGAGTACTCACGCGTTGTACTTTGTACAACTGTGTGAGTTTTCCATTTCCATTTTGCAGCCGAGCTACCAATCGATCTGAAATCAACGAGTATTCCTCAAAAAACTTGCTTTTAACTAAACAAGCTAAATATTTATTACAGTTAACCCCCAAAATATGCGGATAATAGAGAAAATGTAAATGGAAACCGCGTAAATAGTGTCCATACTACGAGGGTTCTGACTTAATTGGTTACAACATGGAATATCTCGAGATCCTGACCAGATAGAAAGTTACTGTCTTTGCCAAACTAGTTCTAGAGATCATAACCTTTTTGCTGGTGGACAGTAGTTCAAAATTTACTCACTACATAGCGCTAGTATACATGTGAAGTTCTCGCATGTGATATATTTCGAAATATTGACCAGATAGAAAGTTACTGTCTTCGAAAAAGTTGTTCAGGAGTTCAAAGCCTATAGTTCAGAATTTTTTCACTATATGGTGCTAGTATATACGTGAAATTCTCATATAAAATATCTCGAAATCCTGATCATATAAAAAGTTACTGTCTTCGGCAAAGTTGTTCAGGAAGTCAAGGCCTTTTTGTTGGTGGACTTAAGTTCAGAGTTTTCTCACTTTGCAACGCTAGTATACATGATGAATTTTCGCATATAAAATATCTCTAGATCCTGTCCAGACAGAAAGTTACTGTCTTGGGCAAAGTTGTTCAGGATGTTAGGATCTTTTCGTTGGTGTACCATGAAGTGAAATATTCTGAACTACCGTCCACTAGCCAAAAGGCCTTGATCCCCTGAACAACTTTGCCCAAGACAGTAACATTCTATCTTGTCATGCTCTCTAGATATTTTATATGAGAGAATTTAACGTGTATACTAGATCTACATAGTGAGAAAATTCTGAACTATTCTACACCAAGCAATAGGCTTTGACCTCCTGAACAACTTTTTCAAAGACAGTAACTTTCTATTTGGTCAGTATCTCGAGATATATCATATGCGAGAAGTGTATATGTATACAAACGCCACGTGGTGAGAAAATTCTGAACTACTGTCTACCAGTCGAAAAGTCTTGACCCCCTGAGCAAGTTTGCCCAATACAGTAACTTTCTAGCAGGCCAAGAACTCGAGCTATTGTATATGCGAGAATTACACGTATATGCGCCTCGTAGTGTGAAATTTCTGAACTACTCCACCAACGAAAAGGGCTTGACTTCCTGAACAACTTTGCTGAAGGCATTTACTTTCTGTCTGGTCAGGATCTAGAGATATTTTATACACGAGAATTTCGCATGTATACTAGCACCACGAAGTGAGATAATTCTAAACTATTGTACACTAAGAAATAGGTTTTGACCTCCTGAACAACTTTGCAGAAGACATTAACTTTCTATCTGGTCAGGATCTCGAGATATCGCATGTTGTAGCCAATTAAGTCAATCCCACGTAGTATGGACACCGTTTACGCGGTTTCCATTTACATTTTCTCTATTATCCGCATTTTGGGGGTTAATTGAAATCAAAGTTTAGCTTTTTTAGTTCAAAACAAGTTTTTTGAGGAATACAAGTTGGTTTCAGATCGATTGGCAGCAACAAAATGGCAATGGAAAACTCATATGTGTTGTACAAAGTACAACAGCGCTAGTAACGGGGGGTTAACTTTTATGCATACCGTAAAACAGGGTGTAATTGATCAGCGGGGCAAAATTGATCGCTGAAATTTCTTGTGATATTTTTTCATATGTAACATGTTTTTCGTTACTAAGCGTACGAATGTATCTTTGTATACATTGTAAAAATATTATGCATAAGTACAATATTGGGTATACTCAGCGATCAAATTCACCCCGCTGATCAATTTCACCCCGTTTTACGGCACCTTCTTTGAAAATTTTCCCACCTAGACGGACCTAACAAATGCGAGATAGGAAGAAGTGACCGTCGTAATTAATTTTAGGCTCATAGGTTGAAAGAACTTCAGCATGTCCAAAATATATTCGTTCCCATTCAGTGTGTCCAAAATATATTATGGACACTGTCCAAAATCAAGTGGAAGGAACCAAAATATGTAAATATCATGATGTGAAAAGAATTATTTTTCGAGTATATATCAATAAATTAAACATCTAGTGACATTTTACATCCAAGATGAGTAGCTTTCGAACACAACCGCATGTAAATTGCATATTAATAATAAACAAATAATATTATTTTGACATAAACGTGATCTCACTTCCTCTAGGGGTCCAAAATCAATTGGTTACCCTAATACCAAAAAAATGATCCCACAATACCATTCCAATGCCAAATTATGATGATGCAATACCAAAACAATACCACACAAGTATTGTTTTGGTTTCCAAATATCAATTATTGTTATTTTCAAAGTATTTTGCATATAATTTTTTGGTATTATTCTTTGGTATTTTACCTCTTTTACCAGAATTAAGTATACATGAGTTATTTTCTCCTGCTCGGAAAGGTGAAGTTCACCGCTCCATTAAAAAAATATGTTTTGATTTGTTCAAGAGTGTTTAATAAAGGTATAAAAAAATCTAAAAAAAAAATATATTTTTTTTTTCTTATTATCTATAGGAAATTCACATCCAAAAACATTTTTCGTAAGTCATCATGGCATAAAGATATACTCAAAAAACCACAAAACATCGACCTTCCGGGTTTTGCCGACGGTCCATTTTTTTCATATTACATGTACATTTTTGCAAGAATAGAAGGAAAAAACAGATATTCTTAGATTATTGATATTTTTTCCCATTACTTTTAGAAGAATAAAAACGTGCAGAAATTTTATGTTTATTTTTGAGCGGTAAAGTTGCACAAGCCAGCCTTTTTTCGTGGTAAATGTTAAGAGCTGCGACAAAAAATCTAATAGTTTAACAATTGTTGGAAAGATACACCATTTATCTACCATTAACATGAAACATTTTATAATAAATTATTACAAAATTCATACGTAGTTAAACATCTGTTCTATGACCTTAAAAAAAAAAAATCAAAAACTGCTTTTAATTTCAGAAAGAAAATTCCATTGAAATTGCATTTAGACCAAACAGGTTTTCAGAAATTTAGGCCAGAATTCCGTCGTGATTTCTAGTTTCACCCAAGTTTGGGTTCGTGAGAAAATTGAAAACTTTGTTTTTTTTTTACAAAAACTGCTCCAGCTAATCTAAATTGATCTAGATAATAATAATTCCCATAATTGTTTCGTATTGCCTTTTGAAAGAAAGCATGCAGATTAAAAAATGGGAAGAACAGTGTTCAACCAGTAAATTACGTATAAAATCTTCTTGTAATGTACCAAGCGCTTCCACTAAATCTCAACGGAATGGAGTTGAAATATGCGTCACAGTTCCCTCTGTTTACAGTCACACTAGCTATTTAAGCTTGTTCCATAATTCTACACAAAGTACTCACCATCCCACTCGCATCCGATGATTTCCGCCCGGAGGCAAACCGTCCGATCGTACTGACTGTACGGGAAGATGCGGATTTTCATCGCAAAGATAATTGGCTGCAGAAGGTTCTCCACTTCGCTGTAGGTGTTGGTGTTCCCGTTCAAAATCTGCAATGGAGAAGGAAAACAGAAATGATGTAGAATCAAGCATGAATCACCCCGTCGCCGTCGTCTTCGTCGTCGTCTTTTGCAGCGGTAGAGAATGCGAAGTTCTCGAGCGATGCAAGGTAAAACACGCCTCGTTAGGAAGCATCTCTGCGTTTTTTTTTTTTTGGGAACCAGTACATTTCCACCACGCGGATTCATGCTCAAATACAATCTGGCATACGCATCTGAAGAACGCACAATTGAAAGCAAAGATTATGCTCGCAGGAGTTTTCCTACTCTGTTTGGAACTTTGCCACCAGCAGCAGCAGTATATTGCGAGTGTGGTAAAACGCAAGCTACCGTGTGCGAATGGAGGTAGCTCGTTTTGCTGCCCATGAGGTGTGAGGCTAAATTACTTTTTTATGGACCCCGCCGACGTAGGCAGATTTATGGAAGGTGTATTTATAAACCATTTCCCCGACCGACGGGGAACAACACGAGCCAAGTGAGATTTATGCCGGTACATTTTGTTTTGTTCTTGCTTTGAATCTTTAATTTTGCACAACCATTAGTGGATGCTACCATATTCATGGAAAAGTACTCGGCGAAAATGAGGTTTTCCGTTGAGGCCAAAGTTTTCCTTAACGTTTTTCGCAGAATTAGGAGAGCTGGGAGCCCATCAACCCTTTTCAATCATATTCAAGGGCCTTGAATACTTAATACTGGAATGTGCTTGTGAAATATTTGAGTACTTCTTATTATAATATAAGCTTCAGAAAACCACCTGTTGTTACTATTTTGTTCTAAGTTGGGTTTTTAGCGGCGCTGGTGGTGTAGTGGTAAGCGTGATCATCCCAGCAGGCCTAGGTTCAATACCAGTTGGCGCCACTGGGATGTTCTGAGGCATAATGTATCTGATCATGCCTTCCTTCAGGAAGTAAATCCGTCCCCGGATCATCAGTTGATGGGTCGATAGGTAGGGTCCAGGTGTGGAAGCTGCCTCCCTGGCGTCGGTAGCATAGGTGCTCAGCACGGAAAACGAGATCGATGGAAAACAAATCAAGGAAAAATATAGATATAAGTAGGGTTTTTATCCGGTATTTATGCTCCTGTTCGTATTATTATTTTCAAATTAAATCTTAAAAGCCTTACACATCCAAATGTGGTTTGAAGTGAGTGTTAGTGATAGATATTTTAATTGGATTTGTTAATCTTCGAATTCGGGATCTCACGAATTCCATTACCGACCCGATTACCAAATTTACCGAAGTTTAACAATTTCATTAATTTCCAAGCAACACAGATTCAATTTACGTAACTTACTCTATTTATCACTACCCACTCCTTTTAAATCAAATTTGGATGTTTAAGGCTTTTTAGATTTGACTTTAAAATAAATATACGAACAGGGGTGAAATTTCCAGATGAATCCTCTAATTCTAAGTTAGATGTAATATGTAAGATCCATATGATATGGAACCCAAAGAGCATCTATTGCTATTGCTAGAATCGACATTATTTTTTATTTCTTTAACTTAAGCCTTGTTAAGTTTTAGGTGTCTGACCATTTGGAAGATTGAAATTTAGTTGAATGAGATTTTTGGTTGAATTACGTTTGGACGAATAGACTAAAATCCAGAATTGAAATATGACGCAATTTTGAGGAAACTGGTTTTTTCAAAAGATGTATTGTGTAAGAACTGAAATATTTTTTCTAATAAACATGAGCAGTTCTTTTTAGTCATGTAATTGCAAAACTTCTGGTACCGGTAAATATTAATTCATTAACATGGTGCTAACTACTTTTCCTGGAGTAGAAATCGAACCCTCACTTAGGCACTCACATAATCATAATGAGGTTTATGAGATATCTTTTTTTTTTTCTTTTGGTTTGTTTTTTCCGTCGATCTTGTTTTCCGTGCTGAGCACCAATGCTACCGACGTGCCAGGAAGGCAGCTCCCACACCTGGACCCTACCTATCGACCCATCAACTCATGAACCGGGGACCAACGGCTTTACTTCCCATCCGAAGGAAGGCGTGATCAGAGATGTTATGCCTCAGAACATCCCGGCGGCGCCGACTGGGATTGAACCCAGGCCTGCTGGGGTGAGAGGTAATCACGCTTACCACTACACCTCCGGCGCCGTTTATGAGATATCTGTCCATTATTAACTTCTGTACTGTTGTTGTTTTTTTGAACCCCTGTCTCATCGGAGGAGCATCGTGAACAGCACTATTTAGAGTCACGGGCTGGCACGAAGATGATGATCAGCAGCCCCTAACATGCAGAGTAGAATCTCGGGTTGCATAAGCCACTCTTTGTCGATGAGGGGAGCCTCCCTTCCCTGTCAGCATACGACCAAGGTCCCACCAGGGTTGGTTACTTGATCTTTCCTATGGTTACTCGTACCCCAGTCGGCACCGCGGCAAGTTACCCAAGTAACCATAGGCACGTTATTTCGCCTTTATGGCTATATACGGGCCTCATCCGAACTTACAAACACTGGTATAGCCGGTGTTCAGCTGTATATAGCCAAAAAGGCAATATAGCGTGCTTATGGTTACTTGGGTAGGAATAGGAGTTACTGGGGAAAAGGCTAAGGACCACTAATTGGGGTCTATTTTATAACTGCAGGTGTACGCATTGTTCCAATGGTAGCATTGTCCAGCCGTTAAGCAGTCAAGAAATCAGTATTTAATCCTTGTAGGTAAGTTTTGTATTCGAATTTTACAATCACGTTGCATTCGACACTGTAAATGGCTAAACAAGGAAGTAATCTTTAAAGTAGTTTAAAAGTGTTTGTAATTTAAATTTTGCAAACGAGATATTATAGTTATTAAAGTCCTTATAGCAGTAGTTCACGAAATGAATTTAATTTCGGTAAATGACTGCCTAAAAAAAATTCATTGCGTGCCCTACTTTTTAAAATATTTGCGTACAAATGCAAAAAAAAACTTCTAAAATTACTTTTATTTCCTTAAGTTGTCTAGGCCTTATCGTTTCTATTTTAAAAGTTAAAAAAAATATCGTAACAAATAGACCTTTTCAAAAAATTATCCTAAGTTTATTTTTTAGGGAGTATGTAAGTGTAATTTATGTGTATGTAGTGTAATTTGAAATCTGAGAGGGTGCGGAAAACCACTGGCTGAGTTGGTGTGAAATTCGTGTTGGGTATATTGGACAACATCAACATGTTTCCATTCGGTTGAGTCTAAATCAGAACGTGTGATTCTGGCAGTTTCCGGGCCTGAGGATGATTTTTTACACCCTGTATAATGTGCAATCAAGAAAAATACATTTGGTTGCTGGACATGATTCATTATGTTTGAAAAAGGTGTAACGAAAAGAAATCGAGCCCAATTCAAGTCACTTCAGGCGTCCCCCAAGGCTCTCATTTGGGACCTCTCCTTTTTATTCTATACGTAAACGACATATCTTACATTCTCAAAAAACTTAAATTGCTTATTTATGCCGACGACATGAAGCTCTTTTTGGAAATAAAAAATGAAGAAGACATCAATATATTCCGGAATGAAATACACATATTCTACATAAGGTGCAAAAAAAGTCTACTAGAATTGAATGTAAAAAAATGTAACTTAATATCATTTAGTAGAAAAAGAACAACTTCAAACATTTCAATTGCATTAGGAAATCAAACTGTAGACAAATGTGAAAGAGTTAGGGATTTAGGAATTATCTTAGACTCTAAACTAACTTTCATAGACCATTACAACACAATTATTCACAGGGCAAATAACATGCTAGGCTTTATCAAGCGCTTTTGCTATAACTTTCAGGACCCTTACACAATTAAAACACTATATATTGCCTATGTGAGGTCAATACTGGAATATTGCAGCATTGTATGGTCTCCATTTTCAATCACGCACGAAGAAAGATTAGAATCAGTACAAAAACAATTTCTATTATACGCTCTTCGTAAATTAGGTTGGACTTCATTTCCTCTTCCATCATATGAAGCACGCTGCATGCTTATAAACATACAAACACTAAAAGAGCGTCGTGAATATGCAATGGTTTCATTTGTAAATGATATCGTTTCGCAGCGAATTGACTCAACAGAACTTTTATCAAAATTAAATTTCCATGCACCCACTCGGCAACTCCGAAATCGAAATTTATTTGCCATAAAACATCATCGCACAAATTATGCAAAATATGGGCCATTAAACCGCATGATGGCCTCTTACAATAACATAACACTGCGAAACCATTGACTTTACAATGTCTCGGCATAAACTAAAGCAATATTTTTATTCCATAGGAAATAACAACTCATAAAAGAAAAGACAAGAAAGCTGACACTATTTTTTTTATATAAATATATATTTAAGAAAACAAAACTGTATTAGTTGTACTAGTCTGCGTTGGTTGACGAAATAAATAAATAAAAAATAAATAAATAAATAACGGTGATATATAATTTACAACTTGTAAAATTACCAACATTTTGAGAACTTGTGAACTTAGGAAAAATGGTTATACAAACTAATTCATTTAAAATTAAAATTTATGTTAAAAATTATGCAATTACATAAAAAAGAGCAAAATTGTTTTAAAATGTGAATGTTTTTTTTTATAATGTGATAAAAACAGAAAAATAATTTAAAACATAATTTAAACATTTTACCATCTAACTTCAGCACCAGATTTCAGGGTATAACTTCAGCATTCTTCCCTACATGCAAGCGATCTACGAATTCCTTTGTCTGATGATAGAGTTTGATGTGAGTATCCCCTCCTTTCCAAACAATTTCCCGCCATTGTGTCCCAGTCTTATTATCCTTCTGTTCCTGTGCTACTTGCCCCTGCCCAGTCAGGATTTGGTCAGTATCTGTTAGTATCTGAAGGAGGCTTCAGAAACCAGTTTCCTACCTAGATCCTTCCAATTGAAATTGTTACCCATTAACCTCGAGCCCGCCACGAGTAATTGGTACCCAATACTAACCTAGAAATACTGCTATTTAAAATGTAAATCAAACATTACTGATTTT